TGTGTGTGTGTGTGTGTGTGTGTGTGTGTGTGTGTGTGAGAGAGAGAGAGAGAGAGAGAGAGAGAGAGAGAGAGAGAGAGAGAGAGAACATCTCTGTTTCAGAATCTGGCTAAGAACTGCTTCCAGATTCAGACAAAATCATCCAGAACAGTGACTAGGCCGATTGGGCCGAAGTGGGTGGGCTGGGCATGAGGCCTGGGTCCACGCCGTTTCATTTTTGAATTTCAAGGACCTGCGGCCCCCACGCCGTTTCAAAATATTTTTTGGACCACGGCCACCTACCGGTTCCCAGGAAAATGCCACAGGCAAATACCGGTCCTGCATTTGCTTGAATTGCCGCCCCCCCCTAAATGCCCGTGCCTTTCATTTTATCAGCCTTTCAACGACCAATGGGCCCAAATGAACGACTGGTCTAACGAACGACGACGAAAAATGTCTCAGGGGCATAAAACGCAACCCTGACGGACTGCGAATTGAAATATAAGTCAAATTGCGGCCACGATCTATTTCACAGTTGGAATGATTTTTTAAAATTTATTGAGCGTTTTTCCTGGAAAGATCACAACAAAATCTACGAGTACTCCAATTTTCAGGTTTTTTCACGCATTCTTCTGAGCGCAAAAACTCACTGAATTTGGAGTACTTTTTCAATTGGCCCACATATGGCTGAGTGGCAAAAATAGAAAATGTGTCGAATCGGCGCAACGATTATTTCGCAGTCTAAATTATTTTTTGAAAATGTTCTATTATTTTTCATGGAAAAAACACGACCTCATCTATGGATTCTATAAATTTCAGATTTTTTTGTGGGTTCGTTCGAGCACAGAAAATCGCCAAAGTTGCCTTTTGCAAAACACCTGTTTCGTTGCGTCTGACCTCCCTGTTTTGAGAAGACGGGCCTCAACGCCTGGGCCTGAGGGCCCTTCTGCAGTTCGCAAGCCCTCACTTCTTTTGGGGGTCCGCTTCCATCCGAGGATCAGTCCAACGGGCCCCACTTCTTTTTGGGGTTCACTTAAACTCGAGGACCGATCCCTCCTTTTGTCGAAAGTTTCGGTTCTACCAGAGCTAGTTGTAGGTAGTCTGAAATTTTGCCAAGGACCGGTCCCCCAAATTTATTTTGCCCCCTAAGAACCCACTTTGTGTCCTGGTTGCACCCCGCAAAACATGTGACACCTTGACACAGACGTTGTCACGCCGAAGCTCGCTATAGTGACTGTCTACCGCGTGGGCGCGGGGAACGCAACCCTAAGGTAGCCAAAACAATGAGACTAAGAACGCGCACAAGAGAGAGAGAGAGAGAGAG